AATGGAATGTCTTGCAGGTAATTGTCGTAAATGCTGGACGGGATAATTGTTATCGGCGATGCCCAGTCTAGCTCCATAGTCACTGGTACAGAAGTGTTAAGCCCACGGAGTGTAACGGTACGTATGTCAGGAGCAGGGAGCTTGGGTTCCAGCGAAGCAATTCGTCGTGTTTCTGGTTGCAATCGTCTTCTGATAGAAAAAACGTTCGGCGTAGTCGATGAGGTGGAAACATCATTTTGTTGGTCAATAAACGCGACTCGACGCGAGCGGCAGCATCTGGCGAAGTGGCCCAGTTTACCACAGCTTTTACACTCAGCTGTACGAGCCGGACATGTTTGACAGTCAGCTTTGTGGCGAGAACTCCCACATCTATAGCACGAAACAGTCGAATTCTGAGGTTGACTGGAACCCTTGTGCTGAATCTTACTGACTTCTAGTATATCACTCGACTTGAATAGGCTAGAATGTTCAACGGCGGCTTTTATTAGTCTTGCGATCTCTATGGCTCTCTCCCAGGTAAGTTTTGACGGATCTTCGGAAAGTAGCTTTTCGCGTATACGATTATCCTTTATACCGGTTATCAACTGCTGCGTCAGCATAACACTCTCAAGTTTATTCTTCGGGATGCTAGTGTAGTCACAGGTTTTTACAGACCGAATTAAACGAGCGACAAATTGTTCCAGTGGCTCTGCATCTTCTTGCCTCAAACAGCAGAACTTGTAGCGTTCAGCGAAAATGTTTGGCCGTGCACCCCATGACTGATCGAGTACATCCAATGCCTTTGTAAGTGTGTCGAATTTCTGCAGATCTAACGCATCGAAATAACGTTGACCTTCATTGCCCAACAGGTGACGAAGCAGTTTCAGTTTTTGCTTCTCATCGTAAGTAGTAGTTGCTGGGAGTAGGTCCAAGTAATTCGTGAAAGACGTTCTCCATTGGATCCAATCACTCTCCGTAGGTCTGGTAGCAGGATCGCACCAAAAGGCTTCTGGAGGTAGTAGGTGAAATGCCATTGTAATGGTGCATAGCCCAGACGCCACTGTTGTATCTACACGTACACTAGTCCCCTGCACGCAGGGTCTTGAACAAACACGACCAAAGCCCCGAACGAGGAAGCAGAACTCTACTGGTACGCAACACAAACTTCTATTCACGCCAACGGTACATACACTCAGTATATTCAAAACAACCCTGGTATTGATCGCGAACGGACAGGCATCCAATCACAAGCTACGAAGTGCGGTCGTGATAAGGCCAGCGCGTACGCGCTGCCACAGTAAACATAAGTGTAAATCGCCAATTTAAGCGTCTAGCGATTCAGGTGCCCCTTATTCATATAAACATTGTAGAATGTGTACTGAATTGTTACTGTGGAGTAAAATGGAAGTAATTTGTGGAAGGTATGTCCTAAGAACAAAAGAAACGACAACGCTTACTCATGCGCCTCATTACTGGACTGAGGTAATTGATGAATGCAGTTGTAGTATATCCGAAACTAGATTCCACAACGGCATTGTGTAGGTAGTGAAGCACCAAAGCTGCGAATGAGCACCGTTTGTTGGCGTTTGGTTGACGTAGACATCTCTAATTATGTAGCGTAATGTAAGTGGATAAGCGAATCATCCAGACGTCTTTTGAATACCGTTAGCGTGGGGGAAGAAACAACGTATGTGGGAAGAGCGTTTCAGTGTTGACACACACGAAGGGAAAAGAAATTCCGGCGACATTCCAACCGGTTGTATTGTGTGTCCAGCTTTAGCTGGTGTCCTCTGAGTGTGGTATTGCTATTCAGATTTAGTAGGTGACGACAAGTATGGTTTGGATTCCTCAGGATCATACAAGTCATTATCAAGTAGCCACGCAGGCGTCGATATTGTCCACTGTAGACCCCGAGTGTTTTCAGCCTCAATCGGTAAGGGAGATGAAGCAGGCCCTTTAAGTTCTTGGTCGCCCTTCGTTGTGGCAGTTCAAGAGCGGGAAGGTCTTACTTTTGTCATGGCTGACAGGTGTGAGTGGCGTACTCAGAATGAGGCCGAATATAGGCATTGAGCATCTGAGAAAAGCTGGAATGATCGAAGCGCCCGAATGCCCTCAGCAAAAGGCCAAGGTGTTTGGTTGGCTTTTTTGGAGGCTTTCTCGGCCTGACGGGAACAGCCCAGATCTTCCTGCACTATCACGCCTAGACCGCATTCTGTTGAGGTGCGCTGCAATATTTGTTCCCCATTCTGTATTCGCAAGTGGCTTTATGGCGTATGCTCAACACCTTGCGGTTTGTAGCGTTGAACTGATGCAGCTTCTGAGTCGACCATTCGTAGACCTTGTCAAGATCATCCTGAAGTGCTGCATTGTCGCTGGTTGTTCTAATGGCTCGCCATATCTTGAGATCATCAGCGAAGAGTAAGGAGTTGGAGGTGATTACATTTGCGAGATCGTTTATGCGAATCAGGAATAGTCGTGGAGCAAATACTGAGCCCTGGGGGGCTCCGCACTTAATGTCGATTGTGTCAGAGATGACGCCGCGAACTCTAACATTCAGATATCGTTGAAGCAAGAAGTTACCTATCCAACCGAGGATTGGGTCACCAATTCCGCAACACTGCAGCTTGTGAAGGAGGATACGGTGGTTCAGACGGTCTAAAGCCTTTGAGAAGTCCAGATATACTGCGTCAACACCTACGCCGCTGTCAACGGTCTCAGTCCAGCTGGATATAGCAAGTAGCAAGTTTGAAGTGCAAGATCGGTTCTTGCGTATATACTATAAATAAAGACAGATTATTGTGATCCTAATTATACTGAATAACATGGCGTCTGATATAAACAAGTGCTTTGATAAGAGCATTGGAGCATCTATGCGCTAGGGAAAGAACTATTACCGTTCTTGTTAGATACTGATCAATCAATCACATCTGTCAAGTTCTTTATTGTCCTGCGTTGCATTCACTGACATCTCAGCATCTCCCCACCCCTAATAATTCAACAGAGAGACCTTGGGATGATCATGAAAATGTACAGAATGTTATGCTGATATGAAAGCGAGTCTTTAATGAAGTCCATCTTCACTTGCGCATGTGTGATGTTCCATACACGACCAATACCGCGTTGGAGACACTTCTCCTGCAAGAGTTTGGGTTCTGTCAATTGGCCGGTTGACTACTGTGCGTTTAAGTTCACTGTACGCAGATTGGTTATTCTCCCACACTAGCTAGCCAATCACCTCACACTCCCGACACTTGCAATGCTGATTCCTTGAGCCATGTATCGTGAGTTTATTGATTGATAAACTTGTTGTTGAGACTTGTTCTGCTCGCCGGATTATGTTCCAGAAAGTTTGCATTATCTGCTTGTCACTGCTGCGTGTTAGGTTCTGTTGTAGAGTCCCAATTCATACAAACCGCTTGCGGATACATAGCGGTTAAGCGTTAGTTTGTGGTACGGGTGTACTTTTGAAACTTTTTCTATCAGCTGTTCCTAGCAGGCAAATACAGGTAGAAAAGTTCATTCTATAGCCTTATGGAATAAACTACGTGGCTCCGACTAATATTCATTTGTGGCATTCTCTAAAATCACGGCAGTTGTACGCAAATCGGGGATTCGAGAACGATGAATATACTTCGAACTGATCGAGAAGCCATGAGTTCCAAACAGATTGTAAACTATCGGTTAGCGTACTTGTTGGGCAACATTTCGCCTCGTCAGGACAGGTAAAGTAGTATCCAATTTGTGTGACATTTTATAGCTTACAAATATAAGATTTGTAAACGCGAGGCCTAATGTCATCACACAGGCCACTATCCATGCTAGAGACCGAATAAGGTCGGATGCAGAGGGCAGAATTCCCCAGGACACCACAGAACGTGTACGGGTGTTTCAGACAGGAACAAAGTCAGCACACCAACCCATCCAGCAGATGAGCACTGCACAGACTGGAAGAAGTACAGAAGTGGATCAGGAACCAGTAAAAGGCATTCAATTGGGCGCGACCGGCTCAAGGCGTTAATATGGCAGTTGTGCACAATAGAGTGTTACAGGTCCTTATATCCAACATCTTGTCTGAACCGTTTACGAAAATAAATAAACCTTTACGTCCTAAAAGTACCCAACCTTCCGGTGGAATTCTAAGTTGATCATGAAGCGTTGTCGAACCGATTGGGTAAATTCATTTGTTACAAATTTTAAACTTTCCACTTTTCATCACATGAATGACAACCAATGGACAACATTTTGAACTTTCGTTCTAAGGTAGAATTTTTTGCAAGTTTTCTGTGATTGATAGCAAAAGTCTGCTAAACTTGAAGTAAAAATCCAATCTTTTGTATACTTTGTATTGTTGGAGTTCCTTGTCCAACTTAATGCCAGTGATATTTCTCAGAATATGTCATCAAACTGACAAAAAGTTGTGTCTAAAATATCAGGACCGGACTTTAAGGCAATGAGAACAATATGCCTTTTGGTGAACCAACTGGATAGTTGGTGTTGCACGTCTGAAAATGTGAACTCCACGACTGGTTTCAAGCTTATCCCATCACGCATAGATAGGTGGCATCGAACTCGCGGCTTTGGGATGTTAGTCTAGACCACTGCCCATAAGCGCTTCGAAATTCATTAGCACAAGCAGTGCAGCAAAAGTAACTTTCCAATCATATCTTTTCGTACGTTGACAAGACAAGTATTTTTTAAGTACTATATTATCTCCATTGGAATAAACGGTGGAATTGGCAAGTACGTGTATCTGCACTACACAGTCCAAGTATATATGTATGTATCTGTCCATTGCAATCGAGTCATTATTCTTGAATATCCTTGCTACCTTCGGTTAGACTCGTGCATCTACCGGATGTTGGTATCTGACTAAGTAGCACAGCCGGTCCCTACTTGTACTGAATGTCCCTTAAAATATCCACACCCAAAGACAGCACACCCAGTTGATGGATGAGCAATGAATATCTGTCAGAACTCGACTATTTAGAGCGATGAAACTGCTTTCCTCTTTTGCAGAACAGCACCCATTACCGAGCAAACAACACGAAATGCATGTGGGAGAAAAATCACCGGATGGAAAGCGCCCGCTTAAGAAGGATTGCGGAGAAGAAGAGTAACGAGGTGAGGTGTATTCGTGGCGTGTGGGAGGAACAGACCAGAAAAAGTCACATTGAGGCAGAAACACTTCGACGTTTTAACCAAATTAAAGACCAACAAGCTGCAGCAATAGCACTCAAAAAGTAAGCTACATGCACATTTTTGTTGAGCAAATTGGTAGGGAACAGCTGCGAGAAAAATTGTTGGAGGAGGATACGTTTGTTACAGCGCAACAAAAGTCTCCAGAGCAGGAGAGAGAGGAAAGATGTGAAGAAATGAAAGCAAAGGCTCGACACTTGGAACTAGAGCAAAAACTGTCCGAAATGAAGCTCGCGCAGGAGAAATATGAACAGCGTTTTAGGTTTGATCTTGTTGTACATAAAAGCATGTCGGTCCGACAGGAACCAATGTGACTTGTTACGAGCTGAGTTGTCTAAACAAAGGGCAGCCGAAAATGGTCGGGACCTACAGATGCTAATCATTATGAAGGAGAAACAGAAGATGATTGAGAAACAGATAGACGAATATTATGACAAAATGTTGGCGGAGCAACAGCAAAGTCAACAGTCAGGCCATGTGGCTGATGACATTCGCAAAGCAGAGTTGGCAAGGTAGGTGGAACGTTATTGAATGTGGTCTATGAGTACAGACATACAGCTGAAGCATTGAAGCAGCAAATAGCTGAAAACGCCGAAGCTAAACAGAAGGCAACGCTGGAGAAACTTGAGGAACGTGAACAAATGGTAAGCAAGGGTTTGCAATGCAACAACAAATCTATTAATGTTACTGTTCTAGCAAGTGTTAAAGATGTAATTAAGTATTTGAACAACGGAGCAATGGTTTAATAAGTGCCGAAAAGATAAAGATTAACTGGTTTCGTAGGATGACCTTGGTGAATGTTGCAACATACGGAAAAGGTTTCAGCGAAATTAATTTTACACTGTTGGACTCATCAAAGTATATGGAATAAAAAGGATAAATCCACTGTACGTTCATAAGAAATAGCAACAAATGTGATGCATGCAAACACCGTATCACCACTTAGTGAACACTTGCAGGTAAAATAAGTGGAACGTATTCTCTGAACCGATCAGCATTTAAATCTAAAAAAAATAAAAAAAATGGGTCAGCTTATACGCCGTAACGGCGCTTCGCTGCCGCGCGACCACCACCAGTCGCGCGCGGGCTGAGTATACCGCGAGGACGCCCACCCCTACGCACAGCCAAACAGACACATGTTCGGCTGTAGGTAATGAGTCAAGTGAGACGGTCCAGTGAAGTGCATATACGGTCAACTCTGGTTGTGAAGTTCATCAGAGTGGGTGCACAGATACCAGATTTTAGGAAGGCATTCCACGCTTGGCAGACACGTATGAAAAAGAAATTCTGATGGCATTCCAAACGACTGTACTGGTCTGACCTCTTGAGATGGTGGCCTCTCAGATGGCTGTTATGACTGAACAGCAGTAAATAATGTTCCTTGTGGTTAGGGTCCCTCAAATGCTGGTAATTCCAAGTAAAGTCCCTACGCAATCGCCTGCATCGTTTGTCGAAGACCACAAGCACTCTCAGCCCTTTTTCATACTTCAAATTATACGGACACTTGACATTCTTGGTTGCCTGGCGTTGGGGTATCTCGAAGTTGGTGAGATCTGTCATTAGCTATCGCTTCCAGTTCTGTACTGCATATTTCACGTGTAGATTTATGCTTAAGCCGCGAAGCTGGTGTAAAATCCACCCTTCGGATCATCCGAATGCACGCCGCAAGAGGCCCACGTTTTGAGTGCCTAATCTAGACACCTTTTCAGCGTGATCCGAATTGCCAAGGTGGAGCTGGAGTAAAACACATATTCGTTTCGCATGAAGGCTTCTGGAGCTCTATCTTCTATTGGCGCACGACTGCAGCACCCTACACTTTTCCACATTGAACCGAGGAAGATTCTGTATTGATCATCAATAAACCCTATCCAGATCGGCTCGAAATAGAGTGACCTAATCGAGGTATTGATCGCCTGCCACGCATTAATGTCCTCAGTATAGAATAGGCAATTCGAGCCTACATGGTGCGTTACATCGTTAACCTAATTCCAAAACAGGTGTAGTCACAATACTGACTCATGTGGTACGCCGCATTCGACTTGGTTGGAATCTGATACGGATTCACACACTCTTACTTCCTAGCGCCGGTGAAGGAGAACGTTTAGGACCCACCATAGTAGAGGATCACCAGTGCCTTTAAGAAGTAGAGGACGGAGTTGTGGATTTCTGGCTGTGTTGCTAAATTACTGTGTAGCGGTTCAGAGTTGGCGATTTAGGTGGTGTCCATGGCTAGAATTCTAGTGGGAAATATTCATATAGTTGCAGAAGGAACGCAACTCTTTACCCCCGGATGCATTATCTGTTGATCCAATAAGTCTTCTTTATATCCTATAGCGGATGACTTGAAGGTGTGGAGAGTAATCCGAACACCCAATGCTTGTGATTTGCTTCAGCAGGACCTCGATCGTTCCTCCATGTGGTTTGCAGAGGTCAACCTTCCGATCAACCCGGTCAAGTCACAATTCATGAGGCTAGGTAAGTGTGAGCACAGCCGAACCTACACGATGGCTGGTCAATGGCTGCATCCCGCGCCTTTTGTGCGCGACCTCGGTGTACTGTCACGCTACAACCTAAAGTCCTTGGACAACAAGAATAGGATTTACCAAAACAGTCTTCGTATGCTTTGAGCGCTCAGGCGCAGCCTCAGCACTTGATCCGAAGGGATTGCCGCTCGCCTCTTCGTCTAAGTAATACGACCAATGCTAGAGTACGGCTCACCCGCGTATTGTCCTATCACCCGAGGCGAGGTAGAAAAGATTAAGCGTGTGCAGCACGTAGCCACCAGGCTGATTCCCAACTTACGAGGTGGGCCGTACGAAGACCGATGTAAGAAAGCAGGGCTTTACACCCTAGCTTATTGTCGACTGCGGGTTGACCTCATCATGAAGCACCGGATATTACATCTAGGTGATTACCCTATGTTTAGACCACTGCTTCATCTGCGAAAACCAAGCAGCACACGAGGACACCGGTATAGGCTTATCGTACCGGAGTTAAAGAGGGTCGCTCACCAAATCTGTTTCGAACGCAGAGTGGTGAATGTATGGGACGATCCGCCGCAGCAGGTAGTGGAGGCACACACAGTGTGGGAATTTAAGAAGTTCCTTGACAAACACTTTGCCGGCGTAAAATATATAGTGCGAAAGGCAACATAACATGTGCATGTTCATGAGCGACAATTGATGCAGCTACACAGAGCAAGCTGTACTCGCTGCTTTGAACCAGTAATCAGTAATCAGTGAATCCAGTTCATGGCAGGCACATCAAGAAATCGTTGGTGCATCATCATCATCAACAGCACTACATCAGCCGTTTGTGCTGATGCTTCGCTGCCATACAACCATGAGGACCTATGGAATAAAGAAAAATCAGAGGGAGAGAAGGGGGACTTACCTGAAAACCTTAATACCCTAAGCAAACATTCAGGGTCAAGGCGCCTACACCTTGTGTTAACAACATACCGTCACAAACAGCTGGCTATCGTGCAAAGATAAGGCGGCATCGGCGAGACAGCTTCCTTGCGGCTTTCACTGCCGCGCGTCATAATCAGCCATTACCCCGCAGATAACGCAGCATCAAACACAATTTAAACAGGCAATCCAATTAGGAGACGGCAGCAGATGCGCCACTGGTGTCTACTGCGAGTCATGTCCTGTAAAGTCTCGAGCCAAGCACAAGGCGAGTTACGTGGACTTCAGCCCGGAAGGCGAGACGGACCAACGGCAGTGACTCCATTTCCCGCTGCCAAGTCAACTTCTGTCCGCCTCGAGCCTTGCGCCACCCTACACCTGGCAGACTAAACAAGGCCCTCCTAGGTAAGCGGTGCCCAGGCATACGTAGCATGTGCCCGAGCCAACGCAACATATTCAGTGCTATCTGTTGTTCTAGGGAGCTAGCATGATTGGCAGCACCTAGTGCTCGCCTACGCACATCATCGTTGCGGACACGCTGGTGCCATCCGACACCAGCAATGTTTCGCAGACAACGATGATCAAAGACTTTAAGGCGTCTCAGATCTTCAAACCGAAGGGGCCAAGTCTCACTGTCATAGAGCAGAACGGCCCTCAATGTGGCCTTGTATACACGGCCTTTCAGACGGAGGGAAATTCCCTTCTGTCGCCAAAGATGACGCAGGTTCAAGAAGGCAGCTCTGGTCTTTGCAATGCGTGAGCTCACGTCAGTTTCTATGCGCCCATCATTGCTGATGCAGCTGCCAATATAAGTGAAATGATCAACTACCTCGAGTTCCTAGTTAGCAAGCGTCAAGGGGTCATCAAGTGGCTGGTGGTCCTGCAACAACACTTTGCACTTTGAAGGTGCGAAGTGCATACCAAATAATGGGACCACACTGGACAGGATATTCAGGGTTGATTGTGCCGTCGCAAAATCGTCGAAAAGCAAGACGATATCGTCCGCATAATCTAGGTCAACTAACCTTCCATCAGGCAGAACTTCAACGCCTACATCGTGAGATTTCGCAAGGGAACACTCTATGATAGAGTCCACGACGAAATTGAACAAAAACGGGGAAATCGGACAACCCTGACGAACGCCACTTGTGGTCGAAAAGCTATCCGATAGGGCAGCATAGACCCTGACGCGGCCTGTAGTGTTCGAGTACAGAGCACGAAGGATGTTCACATATTTCGTGGGAACACTTTTCCGCGCAAGTAATTCGAACAGAATCGATCGATCGACTGAATCGAACGCACTCTTGAAATCGAGGAACACAGCTATTGTCGGTCTGAGGTATGCGTGGCGCTGCTCTAGCACCTGCCGCAAAGTGAATATATGGTGTATACAGCCACGCCGTGGGCGGAAATCGGCCCGCTCTTCCCTAATCCGAGATTCCCGTTATGCAGTGAGGCGACGAACGAGAACCGAAGCCAGTAATTTTGTCACAATAGGCGTTAGGCAAATACCCCTGTGGTTAGAACAGTCTGTGCGACTGCCCTTTTTGTATATTGCCACTATAATCGATTGGCTCCAATTAGCCGGGACACTCTCTTTGTTCCAGATACATTCTGATAGTGAGGTCAGTGCTTTGCAGAGGACCTCACCTCCATCCTTAAACAGTGCAGGCGGGAGGGAATTCGGGCCAGCGGCGCGAAAACGATTAAGGGCTGTGATCGCGTTTCGGACCTCGGCCTCCGACGGAGGCTCTAAACTAACCGTCCATCGCTCGTCCTGCATCACATGAGTAAGAAGAGGTCCAGGTGCAGGGGGCCAGCTGAACCGCTCTTGAGAGGGTTCCACCCAACGAACCATCCGGCGCTCCTTATTGTGTATCAGTGCACCCGCGCTATCTCTGATGGTCCCACTGACGCCTGGTTTTCTGGGACCAGTGGTGCGGGCTAGCTAGAAGAGCTTGCGGTAATTGTCTACTGCTCCTGCCTCGTCCATTTATTGAGCCCTACTGGTCCACCAGGCTTCTTGACAGCACGTAAGCTCTGCTTTAGTTCACGCCTAATAGCCCGTCTGGTCACATTGTGTTCAGAGCCAACCGGGAGGTGTCTTCTAGATTCCAGCAGGTTCACCGACCTCTCGGATATCCAGTGCCTGGTGCGGTGACGATTGATAGTGTCACAAGCAGATGCTCCTGCGTCGTGCATGGCAGTCGAGATCCTATTCCACTGAAGGTCAG